CATCCGCCCTCAACAAAATTTTCAACAGGAATACCATCAAAGTGAGCTATAGTTGCCTGAAAAACGTGAAATCCGTGATATCCAGCCATAACAATAAGATCCTTTCAAAAGCGCCATCACCAGTACCACTTACCCCATCACCATCACCATCTCGCCCATCACCAACGTTAACGCCAACACCACCATTAAAACCAACACCAGTGCCACACACCAACAAAACATGCAATTGCAGAGATAAGAATACGTGTCCTCTCAACAAGAAATGCTTAACCAAAGGCATTGTCTACCATGCAAAGATCGCAGCGGAGGACAACGGAGAAACAAAGCACTATATTGGAATTACGGCTACAACTTTCAAGGAGCGTTTTAGGAACCACCAGAAATCATTCAACATCGCTACGTATGCTAACGACACTGAACTGTCGAAGTACATATGGAGTTTGAAGAAAAGCAATCGCCCATACAAAATTAAATGGACAATTTTAAAACATTCGAGTGCATACGGATCGGGACGTAATCAGTGCATAATTAGATTGTGGACGTAATTAGATTTCATCATGAAATTTAAAAAGAACTCGCTGCTCAACAAAAGAAGTGAAATATTCTCGAATTGCGTCCACCAAAAACAATTTCTGGCGGGAAAATACATTCGCGTGCAATCGAACAACGTGCGCAATCATGCACGCGCAAGCAAACAAAACCAAACCGTCAAATTTAGTTAACAGAACTTTAGTTGTCCGAAGATTGTCTGTAAACTCAGGCATGAAACTCTGAGTAACAACGTTTGTTTTGTACTTTATTTAAATAATTAAATATATATATATATATATATATATATATATATATATATATATATATATATATATATATATATATATATATATATGCATATATATTATTGTACATATCTATCTATCTATCTATCTATCTATCTATCTATATATATATATATATATATATATATATATATATATATATATATATATATATATATATATATATATATATATATATATATATATATATATATATAAAGGATGGAGTTCTCCGAGAGCAATATCACATACGTACCCTTTTCTAGATATATGCAAAATTAAAAACAAATATTAACATACGATAGCATTCCTCCACTCGTGAGCTCATTTACCGAAGCAAATGTCCAGGCCTTGTGACCCTGGATGGGCACTTAAAGGAAGGAATACACACACACATTCGTACGCTTATTTAAGGTGACGCCACATGAAATGTTACCTGTTATGTTTCAATTATCCAACAATATGTCTCAACGCAACTCATCTCCTGAGAGACATAAAATATGTATTTATTTTACTTCCTATCATATATATATATATATATATATATATATATATATATATATATATATATATATATATATATATATATATATATATATATATATATATAATATAATATAATTGGAGAACAGATAAAGATGGATTATCATACGTGATTTGCAAAGTAAAATATCCATAGTATATTATATGAAATAGTAAAATATAGTATAATATATAATATAGTATACTATAAAATACTTATATAATATAAATTGCTTATTTATAATATTTTTATATTTTCAAATACACATATTTCGTTGTACCTTCAAGGCACAACATCTTCCTGTCTTTCAGCAAACACCAAACATGTGAGGAACCATGATATCGTGTTGAGTATATGAACGTCTTTGATACGACAAATGTGCGAATTTAGTATAAAAATATATGAATTATATTTCGCATAAAATCCGTGTGAATATTGTGGTTTCAAAGTGAATATTGTGTTTTCAAAATTATTCTGCAGGCACAGAATAGGGACGTAACAGAAGGGCAACTCGCGTGTACAAAGCCAAACTCGTCCCCAGGGTCTTCCTCGTGGTGGCGCGCGAGCTGAGGAAGACCGTGGTAAAATACGATGAAATCTCCAAGACGATTTATTGCATGCGCAGTAACGACAACGTTATGTTGCTGACTACAATTAGCACTGGCGCTTACGAAAATCTTGCTTAAAAATATTCATGTTTTGTTGATTGTTTATGTATTTATTCTCAAAGTTCTAACAAATTTTACGAAAAATACTTCAGATATAAGCTGTGAACACACATGTACACGAAACTAGATAGATAGATAGATAGATAGATAGATAGATAGATGGATAGATAGATAGATAGATAGATAGATAGATAGATAGATAGATAGATAGATAGATAGATAGATAGATAGATAGATAGATAGATAGATAGATAGATAGATAGATAGATTAGATAGATAGATTATTTAATAAGATTTTACATCGCAGCCCAAAAAAGCTGAATTGCGTAAAATTTACAAAACATATAAATTAACTGTAGGTTATAAAGTCTATAGACACATGCATATACATATACACACATACAAATACTAACAGTACACATATTTTCATACATATACATTACGATCTTTAAGGTTCAAGTTAGACATATGTTATGAAAACAATTCATAGCAAACCTATTTCTTTAAATTATTTGACATTGCGGAAATATAAGAGTTTCTAAAACGATTGGTTCGTATAGTAGGACAATCAAACGCACGTTCTCTCCTCAGGTTGTAAGTGGGATTGTGTTCGGGTGGCAGTAGTTGATAAAGCTTGTGGTCTGGGTTGGATACTGTTGCCTTGAAAAGTTTTTCACACAGTTTCTGACGCCTGTCTTTGAGAGAACTAATATTATGCTTGTTAAGATTGTTCGTATAAGATGACCCAGGAGATATAATTGAAAGCGCTCGCTTTTGAATGCGTTCAAGATCGTTACATAAATATGCAGGTAATGAGTGGTGGAATACAGGTGCACAATACTCGAGAACTGGTCTGATGCAAGCACAATAAAATTTTAAGATATGGTCAGCAGGAATGCATGCACGCCTAAGCAAAATTAGGAAATACAAACGTTTGTTAGCTTTCTTCACGACATAGTTGACATGGTCAATCCATTCCAGTGAGTTAGACACCATGACACCCAATATCTTGGCACTGCTGACTAGCTCGAGTTCTTTGGAATTGATGATGATGGTCTTAAGCTGATGTTTCACTTTCTTAAAGTCAACTATCATTTCCTTACACTTGTCTTCGTTCAACTGGAGCTTGTTGTTTTTACTCCATTTCTCTACATCAGACACTGCACTCTGCATTTGACTTTGGCTATTTCTTGGGACAACCTCGGCTAATGTCGTGTCGTCTACGTACTTCCACGAGTGCCCTTCGGATGGTTTAAGGTCATTGATCATGAGAAGAAATAACCATGGTCCTAATTTCGTACCCTGTGGAACTCCAGATGGAACTGCACCCCATTCGGAGAAGCAATCGTTGGACAGTTTGACGCGTTGCAGCCTGTTCGATAAAAAGTCGCATACCCAGCGAACTACACTACGTGGAACATTCAGGGAAAAGATCTTTTTAACTAGGATCCGGTGATCGATGAGATCAAATGCCTTCCTGTAGTCTAGCAACACCATCCTTACCGCTGCACCTGTCCCGTCAGTGGCAGAAGCCCATGTATGAATCATGGAAATAAGGGCATGCGTAGTAGATGATTTTGGGATAGCGCCATATTGGTTGGGATCAATGATCTCAACGACGGCAGGGCCAATATAATATTTTACGATAAAGTCCTCAGCTAGTTTTGATAGAGACGGAGTTAGCGAGATAGGTCTGATGTGCTTGGTAATTACAGTCACAGGTTTCGTCTTTGGTAGTGGTGTTACATTGGCGTACTTCCATGACAGAGGGAGGGATTGTTCAGCAAATGAACTGTTCAGGATAACACAGACTGGGTTCGCGAGAAACTCGGCATAATCTTTAAGGAGCCAGTTCGGCACGCCATCTGGACCAGAGGCTTTTCGAGGATTTAGCCTGACTAATGCTGAGTAAACTGAAGACTCATCAAGCGTTAGAACTTCCGAATCATTATCAACGGGAGGAAGACTGTCAAGTGATTGATATTCCTGCATCGGTTCTAGAAGGGCAGTATTTATAAGGTTGGCAATATCCTTATTTGACTTTCAATCAAGTCCATCAACATGTAATTGGGCGCGAATATTCTCGGTTGGTGTCGCTGGGATCATTCCCGATAACTTTTTAATCTCGTTCCACCACTGACTTGGCTTAACATTCATGAGGCACCCTCGAGGTGTAATATCTGCTTCGGAGCACTTTGCGTTCACGGTTAACGATGTTGCGAAGTTGGCGGATTCGTTCTTGTCCTCCTTGTTTGTAGGCTTTCTGGCGTAACTTGATGAGCTTTTTGAATTCGGGAGTTACCCAAGGAGGATCGTTAACAAGGTCAAGAAACAGTGTTAGTTTGTCATCGCATTTATTAACAAAATTGAGAACGGACCAGTCGATAGAGCTCAGATATCTTCCAAGTTCTTGCCTTCGACTTGAACGAGTGTCTCTTCGAGTAATAAAACGATGGCTAGAGGTGAGCACAGTTCTTACTTTGGGCTGCAGCAGTAACACTGAATGGTCAGATAAGCCAAATGGTGGAAAACTCTACACCGATTTTTTGTCATAAAGGTTGGGCATGTTCGTAACTATGAGATCGAGTATCTGCTGGCCTCTTGTTGGGGCACTGACGAGCTGTTTCAGTTTGAATTGCATGAGAAGTCGACTGATATTTAAACGATTAAAGTCACCAGTGAGTAATATTCCACACCCGGGATAACGTCCTTCAATAGTTGTCAATGTTGATGTCAAGTATTCCAACATCGCCTTATCGCTGGCACCTTCAGGGTAATGAGTATGGTACACAGTGTCAATAATGACACAGGGAATTCCTCTCGGTAGTCGTGCGGGTCTAATGTAGGTCCAAAGCACCTCGAATTCTTGATGGAATAAGTCAGTGAGGGCTTTGAACATGATGGAGTTTTTTATATAAAGCCCGACACCCCCGTAAGGACCAGACGTACGATTCTTTAGCAGTAAGTTGAAGCCAGGAATTTTAAGGTGATGCTCGCTAAGAGAGTCATTGATCCAAGTCTTAGTTAATGAAATTAAATCCGGCTTTGTATTGTTAACAAAACATCTCAACTCGTCGATCTTTGGTGCAAGAGACATCATATTGGCAAGGAGAATGGATGGATCAAACTGCTTATTTGAACAATTGCCAGTCGGCTGTTTGTTCGGTGTATTCGGACCTGGATTTGTAGCGATATCTCCAGCAAGAAGAATGCACATAACTAAATGTAGACTTTTATGTTTTAGGTTGAACTCCAAGCCATATCGATATTTGCGGGGATAGTTAAATTTTCGTAAAAACTTATCCTGAGTTGATATCCATATAAAACCAAGTCTGTCAGGTAGTAAGATTAGCTCGGAGGATATAAAGAAATTTTCCAAAGTTGTTTTATCATCCAAAAACACACGCTGCAGTTTAGTTCTTGTAGGAGACAGGAAATCATGATGATAGTGACAAACCAAATGAGAATATTGTTCAAAATGCAGATATATCGTGCCATTTCTTACTGTAATTTTACCAGTTTGAAACTTTTTCAGTTTGACTACCAGTTCAACAGTTTGACTACCAGTTGACTTTCAGTTCAACTACCAGTTTGAAACATTTTCAATGAGTTTTGGAAATCGGAAAATACCAATGAGGATAGTTTAATAACTTCTAATTAGGATTCCGCGTTCACTTAAAAATTCTTGAATGTTCCACTGACGTCGTTCAGCGTGCGTCGTATGCTGGCGTGCGCTGTTTGCCGTCGTGATAGTAAAGATATTATTTTCGAAAAAAGCCGTAATATTCACGAAAAAAAGCTGCCATAGCCGACAGCAAAAAGAACACATTTTGTCAATTTTCCCGCGTTTTTCCCCGTTTCCTAGGATACGAGGCCTCATCACGATTTATGAATAAGGTCTATGAGCATAAAGCTACGTTTAAACAAACTATGCAACATTGATCATCATATTGTATCAATTTGTCGGAGTATGGCGCTCATATTTGTGACATTGTTTTGTTCGCTTTGGCAACCCTCGTATATATCGGAATGCGACTGAATATAAAACACTGATAGTGTTGCCTGGAATATGAAATGATATTGACTGATTGTTCTGTATATGAAGGTATGTACTGACAGTACTGTACATTTATACTAAATTTATTCGATTTATTTTCACACGTTGCTTTCACATTTTCTCAGAGTCTCGAAAATCACATTTTCTAACACAGTTTCACACATACAGAAAGACTTCATTTCACACATGCAGAAAGACTTCTTCAGAAATCACAGTTTTTAACATACAGAAAGACTTCATGTTATCTCATCAGTTGATACAATTATGATAACAATACTAGTAGAAATGAGTAGAAAGATTTTATTCTGCTTTCCATATACAGTACAACTGTTATTTCGATTTTCTCTGTCCTATATTTTCTTTAAAGCAGGTACTGTTCTGTTACAAAACAACTAATCAACATTTTATTATTTTAAAAGGTGAACCATATTTTATATGAAGTTGGGAAAAAGCCAACTTGAATTCCATGGAAATATATATCATCATGTCATCAATCAGATAGTAAACAATCATTAAGATTATATTTCACAGTGACCAACATGAAAATTTTAAAATGGGAATTAGTTGATGGCATTATAGTTTTCTAATGCTATATGATTTTGTTCATAAAGGTGAAGAAACTCAATATACCTTTCCCTGTTACAGAGCTATAATAGTAATCTTAGAAGATTTTCATGATCCTGCCATTCAGTAGTAATTTAACTAGTCTAGTATTATGACTGTATTATGTTAAATAGCCTTGTTTGACTTTTGCATTTTGTTTCTTTAATAATACATTTACAATGGTCAAAATTACAGTTTAATATTTGTATTTCTAACGATAATTAATTGCATTCAAAATCTCTTGGGAAAAATAAATGGGAAATCTCATGCAAGTAAAATCTCTTGGGAAAAATAAATGTTGTCCCAGGATGGTCATAAATATCAGCTAGTAAAACTAATGAATATACCTATAATCATGTACCTATGACTGTACGTATCATATAATATGTTGTAATTCCTTAAGTGTTTCAAATTAAATAAACTTTTATTTTCAGTTGTTCATTGTTCAAACTTATTTGAAACCTACAGTATATGTAGTTGCTATGATTCAAATCTCCAAAAGTGTGCCTTTTACTTCAGTCCTTATAGACTCCTCCCTAATCAGACACTTTATTGTGCCACCCCAATGTTCATTCAAAGTGATGCAACTGACATCTGAGCTGGTGATAATATACAGTAAAGTTTTGGAACTACAATCATAGACAAATTTACTCGGACAAACATGGCAAATAAATTTTTTTTGCAACATTTTCATATATACTTCGTAAAGTTGGTCCCCCCTCCCCTGAAACAATGTTGATGAACACTTCAGTCGTCATGGCAAGTATTGCGGTATTTGTACCAGCAACATTGTAACGGGGGAGCGGGGAATACGGCTGGATATGCGTATAAATATTTGATTGCCTTAAACTTCAGCCACTTTTAATCAGCGTCCGCGTGTTATTTGTCTAGGATTGTCTGAAAAACTATCGGTTGTATAAAGCATGAATTATTGTACAATTTTAGCCCATTGTCACATTTTATAAATACTGAATTTCTATAAACACATCAAAAAGATATTATATTAAAAATATTAAAAATTTATGTTAAAATATGCAGAACATTTTGATAATTACAGTTAGTTGATTAGTTTGTTGGCGTCATATGATTAACGTAATGTGCGTATAAATCGCGACATGGCGAGAAAAGTATGCGCGGAGACAAGAGCTTTAGCTCGTTTTCATAAAGAATATACAGGTCTGAGTTATCGACAAATAGCCGTTCGATGTGGAATATCAAAATCAACAGCGCACACAATATGTCGGAAGCAAATTAACCGTGTCAGTACATGCATCCGCAAGCCGAAAGGTCGTCCAAAATCTTTAAACGAAAGGGATGGAAGACTTCTACTTAGAGTTTTAAAGTATTACAGAAGAGAATACGTTAACTTCTCAGTAAAAGATCTAATGGTAGAATGTGGATTTGACTCACAGAGAGTGCATCAAAGAACAGTTTCCAGATACCTTAACCGAAACGGCTTCTACATGAGGCAAGCAAGGAAGAAGGGACTTTTAAATGACAAAGATAAACGACTCAGACTTTCCTACGCGCGTGAAATGACAAGAGTTTTACGTGACCACCCAGATTACTACACTAATCACGTGGCTTTCTATCTGGACGCAGTATCGTTTGTACACAAGAACGACCCTCGTAAGGCAGCAATTCAACCGAAATCGCGAGTGTGGAGAAAGAAAGGGGAAGGGCTTGCCGTCACTGCGAAAGGCAGCAAAACTCTGGCAGGTGGGAGACGCCTTCATGTTCTTGCAGCCATCGCTTGGGGCAAGGGTATCATCCTCAGCAAGGTCTACGATAAAATGAACGGTGATTTTTTCGCAGAATTTGTCCAAAATAACTTTAATTTGTGTTTTGGAAAAGCAGGACCTAAAACCGGAAGAAAGAGATTGTTTGTTATGGACAATGATCCTTGCCAAACAAGCAAAAAAGCCATGTTAGCTTTAACGCAGATTGAGTGCAATCTTCATCGCATTCCACCGCGTTCTCCAGATATTAATCCTATCGAGAACGTGTTTCATTTGGTGAAAAAAATACTGCACAGGGAAGCGATAGAAAAGAATATCACTAAAGAATCCTTTGATGCATTTAAGACGCGTGTCCTGCGTTGTCTCAACACATTTAAAATCACGACCATTGACAAAACAATTGGGAGCATGCCAAAACGAAGTGAGGAAATTAGATCCTCAAGAAGGAAAAGATCGAAATACTGACTAAAAACAGTAACTTTCAACTATATTAACAATTAGTATCATATTATTTACTGTTATACGGATAATACACAGTAGTCAAAATATTTTACACACACTATATATATAGCCTGTAATGTATACATGCTTAATAAGCATAGTGAGCATATTCTGATAATACTCTTAATGTGTAAATTTTTAGCACAAAATTGAAGAATTAAATCTTTATCATAATCTGCTTGTTATATCTGTGGCCGTAATGGTTATAGTGGAGGTTACGCGCTAACTTACACGATAAACGAAATATTTTGCTTTTCGGACTTCTCGGCGGACGGTAAACACACGCCATGAAATTTAACCTGTCACAGTGCCACACTTGCCAATAAATTTCTATTTCACATGCTTTCTTATAGCCAAATGATCTACATTGTACTTATGATAATACACAGTAAATATTTGGAATAAACAGCAAAATATCACGGTAAACATCGGAGGACTCCCATTATAAATATAATTACTCAATGATTCTTAATTATTCTGCAACTATCGCTTTTCAATGTTTACCGTGGGCATTTTAAATATAAGCGTTTATAATTAATATGTTTCATAATACTATAATCGCATACAGTTTTTACACAACTACATATAAAATAATTCTCACAAGCTTCTTTCTATCATGCGTTAAAAGGTTAAGAGATAGACAAACGCTACGGTAAACATTACGCGATTCAACACGGTAAACAAAATATGCAACAAATATCAATGCTTATTACTATACATAATATGATTATAAGAATTATTTTATAATCACAAAACGGTAAAATACTGTCAAATGAATATGTTTGTTTTTGTCTCTGACTTTATTTACAATTGAAGCACTAATGTTGCGAAACATCTTGGGCATGGCAGGATATCTTGCCGCTGCTGTTCTAAAGGTATCGCATAATTAAGGCAGAAAACCTTCCACCTAACACCTATCATGTCGGTCTCACGGTCATCGACTATGCCATTCTTGATGAAAATCAATGGTCGCTTGCTCGTACAAAAGATAGGAGTGTCTTTCGTGAACTCGATATCTTGCGTAAAATGGGTTTTCGGAGCTGGTAGGTGAACAACTTCCCCCTCTAACATCAACAACAAATCATGCCACGGTATAACTTGGGGGCTCCAGCGAAAATCGTTAAGAAATATGCACTCGGCATCTTGTATTCCGACCCACGCAAAACTTCCAGTTGCTAGATTGCAGAACGTATGGTACACGACCTTTAGTGGCTTAAGGAGAAAGGTCTTTCCGCAATTAGCTGGGCCAACGATCATTACATAATGATGTTTTTTGCGACCAATAGTTAGGCTTTCTCGTACTGAATTAGCAAAACAAGATATATCTATGCCATTGTTCTGCAAAACCTCTTTCGCACACTGCAGCCAATCACCATTGCATCCAGAAACACAATCTGAGTTTGAAGCTTCTTGAAGGAGATCCATGCGACTCTTCGTAGATCGTGCAATCTTTTCTCGCGCCCCTTTCATCTGCCATGTCGTGCTAAGTATGTCTGCTAGCGTTTTAGGTGACCTATTTAAAATAAACTCCACAAGATCTGTCTTTCCCTGTTCCCGCTGTTCTTGTGCAAGTGCGTGAAGTTCCGTTTCTGTCTTGATGTTCTTGCTCAAAATTAAATTTGACACATCTAATGGCGTTAGACGCTTCTTTCTTGCTTTTCCTACTCGCTTTGGTTTCTTCTTCGTTTTAGTTTGAGTTTTGATGACCGCTTTGCCTCTAAGGTTTCTCTTTCCTATGCTCGCCTTACTGGTCTTCGGAACATCAGTATTTACTAGATCTGGGTGCCCATTACTCTCTTCGTATGCTTCATCACTCTTCGTAACATAGCGCCATGCACTATAATAATCATGGTGAATGTTGGAATAATGAACGCTGACACCAAACTGTTCTAAAAGGTATCTTTTGGAGGGAAGCCATCTCTGTATTTTGTTGAGCTTCAGCGCCATGTGGTAATGTTTCCCACCGTCATTATGGCTTTCAAGACTACAACACCAGTGAAGTACTTGGGCTGAACCTCGAGTGAACGAGTCAATGATCGCCTTTGCGAAATCATTTCGAAGAGGGAACTTTTCTAAACTCGCCTGGCTGTATGTTACAAGGTAAACACTTCTAGTAGCTGATGGAGCTACGCCACTGTCTTCCGGACTTTTCTCGCCGTCTGAGCTAATTGTTTCGTTTTGTCGTGAATTCAGTTCATCTTCTGCCTCGTTAGACGCTGATGCCATTTTCGAACTATACTATATATAATATTTTTTCTGCGTGAGAGTGTATTAGGATGCAACGAGACTGTCCCAAGATTGATTTTGACGCATATTTAGTGAGCATATCACAAACCGGAAGCGAATGCGCCCTTAATTTCTACCTCATTGTCGAATAGTTTTTGCTTTATTACTCTAATACAGTCATAATGTAGCAATTACAGAATTTTTCGACTGTTTTCTAGTGCAGGAGAAAAGATAATTAATGAAGATTTGTTGTAATACATTTTCAGACAATCATAGACAAATTTACTCGGACAAACATGGCAAATAAATTTTTTTTGCAACATTTTCATATATACTTCGTAAAGTTGGTCCCCCCTCCCCTGAAACAATGTTGATGAACACTTCAGTCATCATGGCAAGTATTGCGGTATTTGTACCAGCAACATTGTAACGGGGGAGCGGGGAATACGGCTGGATATGCGTATAAATATTTGATTGTCTTAAACTTCAGCCACTTTTAATCAGCGTCCGCGTGTTATTTGTCTAGGATTGTAGATCTCCTATATCTATGTTGCTTCCCAAGAGCAAATACCCTGGGAACGAGGTTCCTGTAGTTCTCGCAAAATATGCCGGAACTCTGGCTCTAGTACGCCGGCGCACAGCTCTAGCTTTCAGCATTAAATTTTTGTTTTTTAATGAAATTTTGCCTATGTAGGTTCTTCAAAAAGGAAAGCTGCCGTTTCAAAGGGAGCACCTTTAAAGGCATGTACAGCAAGTTTAAAGGTTACCAATTATTTGAAACCTATTTTTCGGTTTTTATTTTGTAGTCATGTCCAGAATGTGGGGATGCATACGGCATTGTTTTCACGAGGAAGGTCAAGAATATGGAAAAGATAAAAAACATGGGAGAAACAAATATCACTGACCAAAGAAAGATGATGGAATCACATGTAAGTTGTTTGTCAAGCCTGCCCCCCCCCCCTCTCCACGAACTAAGATAAACATAATAGGTTTAATTAACCAATATTCAGATGTCTGGATATTGTGAGAGATCTTTTAGTTTCCTTTAAACAAGGATATAAGAAGTTTCAAGTCAAGTTCAAAAAATATAATGCTTGCATGTCATTAAATGCCTTTTTAATAAATTATGACCGGAATAAACTGCAGCTACCTGTACATGCATGCTGTAATTAAATTATTTACAGATGTTACTATCAAATAGACATCAAGTACCAAACAAATCTTGGGCTACAAATCTGTTACAATAATGAAATGAAATTTAGATTCTTTGTATTAAAGTGACAGTGACGTGACACCTTAGTAAATGATTTTGAAACAGGAATTTTATCATGCGAGTGATGCTGAAAATTTGCAGATACAAATTTGCAAAATAATTCATGCAGGTTGCAGTTTATCATAACAGCAAGAAAACAAGTTGTTATTTTTTATTTGAGGCTGATATCTTCAAGGAACATCACAATTGCAACATGATTATCCTGGTGCATTGTAAACATCATTATTGGGTTATACACTATGCACATATGGAACAGAAGGATTGGGGCAACAATTCATTGGGACCAGCTCTTCTGATCGATCACAAGAAGGCAATTGTGACACTTTTTGAGAGATATATGATAGGTATGTACAGTATTCAACACACAGGATACTGTACATCTGGCTATGTAAAGCTATATAAAAACAACATACATGATACATCTAGGCTATGGAAACCATTCACTCAAATACAAAGTATTATTGACAAAACTGTAAGAGTAAGGGACCGCTCATTATTTATTGTACAGGGGGGATTGAGGAGAAACTGGGGGGGCCTTCAAATTTTTCAAAACCTGAAAGGGGGGGCTTTGAAAAAATACAGAGAGACGAAAGAAGGGGGGCTTTGAAAATATTTACCAGTTTGAAAAAACAGTAGTTTTTAAAATGTATCACAAAACAACTTAACAACAAATAACAATATTTATAGACTTTAATATTCGTAAATGGAAGTCAAATAAAAAGTCTCTCATGTTCATGTAAATAGACAATTCCCATTATAGACTAATTTTAGAACTAGGCAAAGAGATGCAAATCAAGGCCGGATTTTGGTGAAAATAGTGGGGGAGGTGGACAAAAATTTTAGGAGAGGTGCAGCGGTCTAGCTCGCAACTCCCATGGAAAGTTAGGGCTTATTGTAGAACAGGCCAATATCAACGAGGTGAGGTATGCATGTAGTGTACATAATATGTACCAGTGTATTAATGAATTATGAATGTATGACTCCAATCTTGCCCTTCATTACAATTGCTACACTGTTTCTTTCAAAACATTGCATTAAAAGGGTGCTTGACATGGCTATCACTGTTTCAATTTTACAGAGAAAACTTTCTTACGTCACAAAGTGTAGATCCTAAGCAACCATCACATTTTCACTTTGTTCCATCATTGAAACTTTCCCAAGGGGAAGTGCATGACCTTTCAAGAGAGGTGGAAAAATTCTCAGGGGAGGTGCAAAACGATCTCTGGGGAGGTGCGCACCTCTCCACACTTCCCTCAAAATCCGGCCTTGATGCAAATAAATCACCACAGCTAGAAAGAGCATACTAAGATAAGTAAATTATTGCAAAGTTTGGTTGCGAATTGTTGCAAAATACGGAAAATATAGCCTTGCAAAGTTTGCAAATTTTGTACACTTTTGTATTGCATGCGAAAATTGCAATTATACAAAAGAATACAAAATTTGCAAACTTTGGAAGGCTATATTTTCTACATATTTTACAACATTTTGCAACCAAACTTTGGAATTTTAGTAATTTTAGTATCATATGACCCTCCCGGGAATGTACCTTTTTTGGTAAGATAAAAAATTAGTCTATAATGGGAATGTCTATTGGTCCCCATTACCTATTTTTCTTTCTCTAAAATAAACAGCTAGAGTTTTTGTTTCTCTAAATAAAGATAAAGAGCTAGAGGAGGGGGGGGGGAGCAAAATTTATGTTCTTGTTTTGCCTGTTGGGTGGGGGGGGGGGCTTTGAAAATTTTACTTGTCTTAAGAGAGGGGCAACGAAAAAATATTACAACTGTAGAGTTTCTCCTCAGTCCCCCCCTGTACAATAAATACTGAGCGGTCCCTAACTTACCTATACATGTAGAGTCTTACGTGGAACGATGTCACGATGTCCTACATTTACAATCTATGAAAATTTTGATATTTTCCAGGATGTTTATGCAACAACCTCGAAGGTTTGTGGTGTTCATGCCGATGTCTTGCATGTTGTCAGTTATTTTGGATGTATTTTGTCGATTATTGGTCTGTCCCTTACTATATTTACGTATACGTTTTTCAGGTAAGAAAATGAGATTTAGAAATCCTATCCGTTGAATACAGTATAGGTACATGAAATAACGTGGCTGAAAGTGTTAATTCTAATCAGAAGTAAATTAACACTACTTTCGTTGTGCACTTAAAGTGCACCTAACCTCAATTCTTCTACCATCTCATTCCTAAGAGCCTTTGAAATGGTATTCAGGGCCGCAGAGAGGGGGGGCGGGGGGGGGGAGGTTGTTCTCCGGAAAAAAATTTTTCCGGGAAAAAAATTTTTAGATAGGGGCCCTAAAAAAAAATTTGCCTCGGGCCCCCGCCAACCTCTCGGCGGCCCTGATGGTATTGTAACTTATTTTGAAGATTTTCATGTGCACACTTTGTCTCGGACTCACTCAGAGTTATTTCAGTTTTATTGATATGCAAATTTTCGGAATTTACGTCACATATGAATAATGACTGATCAAAGAATGTAAGGTACAGTTAAATATCATGAAATAAAAAGGCTAAATGCAAACAAACTGAAATATCTCAAAGTGAGCAAACGATATATAATTTAAGAAGTTCTTAAGAATGAGATGGTAAAAATAATTGAGGTTGGGTGCACATTAATTGTATTGCGTGCTACAACGTACGGCGCAAATACAGTACATAATGAATTTCCAATGCGTCCGTTACGCGTTCCTCTTCTTTAGTATTAGACCTATAGGATGAATGATTACAAAGTGTCAATCTTGACTCATCTACAGTATATCGTACTAGCAGGCTCTACCTCACTGTTAGTTAGCATGTCCTAGAATTGTACCTATTCAGCTGACCCTTGTAAGTGACGTCACAACACGAATTGTTTGATTTCCGCCATTTTGGGAGGCAAATGCCTAACGCTAAATCGTCAAAGTTTTAATGCTAATTCAGAAAGGCAATTTTCTTGCGAATTTTTTCAAGATGTCTATTACAGTATTTTTTCCATCCGAAATGGCGTGTTTCCTAGTGTGACGTAACATTATCGCGTGATTGCAGGACCTGAATAATAACAATTTACTGAAGTACTGTAGACTGTGCTATACAGGTTGTATAAAAAAACTGAACAGATTTGAAATTGTTCTCAATTTCGCAAAACAGCTCATGGTATCAAGTTTTTGTTATATATAGATTCCTTGAGTACCAATAATGTAGAATAATGAAAAAAATACTGGAACTTAAATTGTGTAAACCAGGGGGTGTTTCTTTTTCCAAACAAACTAAAAATGGCTTGCGCACGAAATTTAAAAGCTTTAATTGTATTTTGAGTTAATGGATGGAAAGTTTTTGGGGTTTTTAATTACTGTACAAAATTTCAGACAATTTGATTTAGTTTAAGCCCCTTCAACTATTCATTTTTCCAAAAAAATCAGTCTTTCGCATGCTTAATTAATGCCTTTACCTAATTTGCATATTGCTGACATATGCAAATTAAGCAAAGGCATTATCGCCCGTATTCTAAAAGCTCGCAATGACACTCGAGAGAAGCTCAGATTGAACTTCCACTCAGCGAGTGTGAGTGAGCTTTTAGAATATGAGCGTAAGAGGCGGACCATTAGAAAAAGAGGGGGGGGCATGTATTTTTTCATGTTTGCAATTTGTTTTCAGGTTGTCAATGGACGTATTACCTAATGAACAAAATTTTTATCTAGACAAGTCTAGACCAAAATTTCATCACAGCTTGAAAGAGCATCACAAAATTGGTAATATTCTGAAGTTTCGTTGCAAAATGTTGTAAAATGCTGATAATATAGCCCTGCGAAGTTTGCCGTTTTTCAGTCATTTTGTATTACGCACGGGAAATTGCAGCATGAGTTCCACCTTTGAATTTACTATATGAGTAAATTCTTAAACACGTCCGAATTTATCATTATGATAAATTCGCGGCACATTTTGAATTTATCATAATAATACATTCGCGGCACCTAACACTAACCCCAACCCTAACCACTAACCCCTAACCCTAACTTTTTAAACTTTTTTGAAAATCTAACTTTTTAAACTTTTTTTTTACTTTTTAAATCTCTTTTAAAACTTTTTTAAAAACTATTTTTTTGAAAATCTCCCTTTTAGTGCCATTACATTTATAGTCGGGCAGATAGAGGACCAAAATTATGGAAAACTTACCATATCGTGGGACAATTCCATTTTGCCTTCATATTGTGGCTAATAAGTACGTTTCTGTATGTTGGCCGCGTTAAAATTTCTTGTGGGCTCCTGCCGACACGTTTTTCTTCGAATTTTGTATTAAACTCTATTACAGTTAAAAAATGTGAAATTTCTGATACATTTCTAATACAAATGACTTGCATCAATAGAAAGCTAACAAAAAACTACATATAAGACATTTAAATGGTTAGTTGGGATTTTCAAGCGGTTTTCGAGTTATTGCCGTTTCAAATGTGAAAAATAAGCCAAAATCTCGCAAAATTCCTGGGTACTAGTCTGAAAACACGCATTCAACAGCTCATAACTCAAGAAGGACTTGAAAAACCCGGGTAACCGTTTAAATGTCTTATATGTAGTTTTTTGCAAGCTTTCAATTGATGTAAGTCATTTGTGTTAGAAATGTATTTGAAATTTCACATTTTTTAACTGTAATAGAGTTTAATACAACATTCAAAGAAAAACGTGTCGGCAGGAGCCCACAAGAAATTTTAACACGGCCAACATACAGAAACGTACTAACTAGCTTTCAGGGCACAATATGAAGGCAAAATGGAATTGTCCCACGATATCGCAAGTTTTTTTCCTTCTATCTGCCCGACTATTATAACAAGAAGTGTTGTCTAATGCTTGTGGTTTTATGATTAACTCTATTGGTAAATTCAAAATGTGCCGCGAATTTATCATAATGATAAATTCGGACGTGTTTTAAGAATTTACTCATATAGTAAATTCAAAGGTGGAGCTCATGTTGGGAAATTGATACCTTTTTTGAGAAAGCGGTATCAATTTTCCGTGCGTAATACAAAATGACTGAAAAACGGCAAACTTCGCAGGGTTATATTATCCGCATTTTCCAACATTTCGCAACGAAACTTTTTGTGATGCTCTTTCAAGCTGTGATGAAATTTTTGTCTAGACTTGCCTAGATAAAAATTTTGTTCATTAGGAAATAGGTCCATTATGTATGTAATTTTTTTATGGATATATTACAATTTTGTTTTGAGACGTCCCTGTTGCATGTTTTTTTTTATTTTTTACCTTTTATGCTTGTATGCATTTTTTAAGCATGCAAAACGCTAATTTTTTAGGGAAAAATGTAAGTTTGCGTAAATAGTTAAAGGGCTTTAACTGAAGCAAATTGTCTGAAATTTCGTGCAACAATTATTAAACACCTAACACATTTTTCACCCATTAACTCAAAATATGATTAAAGCTTTTAAATCTCGTGCGCAAGCCATTTTTAGTTTGTTGGAAAAGACACACAGGGCCGCCCAGAGGGGGGGGGGGGCAAAGGGGGCAAATTGCCCCGGGCCCCGAGTTGCTGGGGGCCCCTGAAAAATTTTTGTAGGGCCCCAGCCTTTTTTGTGTGTTAAATATTTCCGCGCAAAGGACAAGATATCTGTTTTCTTGGGCTAAGTACCGAATTTTGGCATAAAAAAATGAGATAAAGTCCCTGGAAAGCAATTGCAACGTACTCGTCCGGCAAAATTTTGTACTCCGGAAAAAATTTTTTACCCCTAAAATGGTACACTGACCGAAAATTTTTTGGTGACCGGGGGGGGAGGGGAGGTTATTATCCGGAAAAAAATTTTTGCGGGAAAATGTTTTTAGATAGGGGCCCCTAAAAAAAATTTGCCCCGGGCCGCCGCCAACCTCTGGGCGGCCCTGAAGACACACACCCCTGGTTTACAAAATTTGAGTTCGAGAAATTTTTTTCATTATTCTACATTAGAAGTACCGAAGAAGCTATATATATCAAAAACTGGATACTAATAGCCGTTTTGCGAAATTGAGAGCAATTTCAAATCTGTTCAGTTTTTTTATACATCCTGTATATATGATGTTTTTCTATTTTAGGAGACTTCGCAAGGAGTTGGCCGCGAAGATACTCATTCAACTTTGTATTGCCTTACTTTGTGTTCTGATAGTGTTCGTTGTTGGTATTGAACGTTCTCGTGTTGGTCCTATTGGATGTTATATCGTGGCTGTCTTGATGCATTACTTCATCTTAGCCGCGTTCTTGTGGATGTTAGTCGAAGCACATTTCATGTATTTAGCTTTTGTTAAAGTCTGGTCACAACATGGCGAACATGAATTGTTGAAATGTTCCTTCATTGCTTGGGGTAGGACACTTGTTTTCAAATATTCTTAAAGTGTATAGACCGGTAATGGCCTATACAGCCATTGCAATTGACCTCGAATTGAGCCAATGCTCGACATCTGGAGGAGAACTTAGAATAAGCCGTTACCCAGTAAAGGGAACAATTAACTCCATTTTGCTTCATTTTAAACATTTTTTCTAGCAAGTATTGCAGTATGAAATTATTGTCGATTTTAGGTCACTTTTTAAAGCTCAGTTCCCAAGTTTGTTGTGAATATTCTCAAGGTCGTTTGTAAATTTTGAATATTGGGCATCGAACTTGCAAAGCCATCAAAGTTCTAAAGTACTCAACTAAAGTACCGAAGTACTGAACATAAACTCGTATTAATTTATAGTGTTTTACTAATATTTATAAAGAAAGTGTGATATAACAGACAATTTGATTGGCTAATGCGCGTGCACTGTGACGCAATAATGCATTGTGGTCCGTGGCACTGCCTTACTCTTTCTGTGCTTTTTGCCCGCTTCATCTCTGCTTTTTAGCCAGAAATATAAAAGAGACTATAGAGCTTTTAAAGTACAAAATTAATCAGAAAGCAAGAAGGAATAGACCAAGGGAACAAAGCAATTTTATCTATTTCTATGTACAGTATACAAATAGTAAAATTAACTGGCTTGGCATTCGTCGAATTTGTTTTTGTCTTGAGAAGTTTTCATTTTGGGCAAAAGCGTGTAAAATAGCCGCGAAAAACCTTGAAAAAGATGCAGGAATACCAGAAACATAGAAAAGGTGATTTAGAAAGTGCCTTCAATGCTTTGATAAAAACTTATTTATTTTTGGCAAAAAATACAATAATATCAAAAATTAAAACACGACGAAACCTAAATAATTTGTCTTATTATTAACATGACAAAATTACTGGATGCTGCTTGGTTGAGAGGAGTACAATTATTTCATTTTGTACTGCAGTATAATTAATGATTTTCCCAAAACAAACAAAATGGCGGAAAGGTATTTTGAACACAAATGTGAAATGAAATTGCCCTTGAGGAACTAGATGAAAATGCGAACAAAAGCACCAAATTTTGCTTTAACAAAATAACTAAATGAAAATACGAACAAAAGTACCAAATTTTGTTTGAAAGTCTGGCAGGACGCGGCTTTGGCGAGAGAATTATATGATGTGGACGGAGAAGTATCTGATTTTGTCATATGCTAATAATAAACAAGTAATCATGCGATGTTGCTCGTATACAGTTAGGGATTAATAGTACTCGTGATCAGTGACGCCGTGGCCGGGGGGGGGCATGCCCCCCCTATTGTTTGAGATCCGTCGGAAAATTGTCAATGTTGTTGGAAATTGTCGGAAAATTGTCAATGTTGTCGGAAATTGTCAAAGTTGTCTACGGGGGAGGGGGGGGGTGAAGATTTGAAATGTTGTCGTCCGGAAAAAGTTTTGGTTTGTCGGAAAAAAATTTTCGGTTTGTCGGAAAAGCACTGCCCTTGACCCCTCCAAAAAACATGGGTACTATTAATCCCTAATTGTACTCGCCATCGCATGATTACCTATACTAATAATCTACATCAAAAAAATTCTCAATTTTGATTGGCTAAGAGAGGTGCAATATTTTCGAAATACAGTGCCAGAAAATGAAATACAGTGCATGCATATTTTTTTCATGTTTATTATTAATAAGTAATAGTATAGTTTCTCGTGTAGTTTGAAAAACTCGCTCGTGCATGTTTTTCTTCCAAATTGCACTCGAAACCATACTATAACCTATACAAATTTGTTGGGTATATTAGTAAAACACTGCAAGTTACGACTTTATGTTCAGTACTTCGATACTTATAGTAAGAAACTTACTAAGTTGGCTTTGCATGTTGCACGCCCAATATTTCAAATTTTGGAACGTACTTGGAAATATTCACAACAAACTTGTGAACAGCGCTTTGATGGAATGCAGGGCAATTAAATTTGGTTTAAAACACAAGTGCGTAAAGGGGGATGTTGACGAAACGTAAAGGGGCGTGATACTGAAGTGTTTTGATGAAGTTATATGCAGCGAGATTTAAGTATCAGACAAGGATTGCAAGGTGTTGTATTTCTAATGTATGTTCCTTTATCCTTTATCAGGTCTTCCAGCGGTTGTTGTTGGAATAACCATGGCAGTTAATGTGGATAATTATGGTGGTGGTCATTAGTAAGTTCAAAACTCCAAGCTTACAGATTATCTAAGTTATTTTTTTTCTTCACTCATGGTCGGATTTTGAGGGGAGGTGCACACCTCCCCTTACCTGAGATCGTTTTGCACCTCCCCAAAAAAGTCATGCACCGCCCCTTTGGAAATTTTCAATGATAGATCAAAGTGAAAATTTGACATTTTTTGGTTGCTTAGGTCTACAATTCGTAAGAAAAGTTTTTCTGTAAAATTGAAACAGTGATATAGCCATTCATCTCTGTGTCAAGTACCCTTTTAATGCAATGTTTTGAAAGAAACTTTGTAGTAATTGTAATGAAGTGCAAAATTGGATGAGTTGTACAGTCATAATTCATTAACACACTGATACATATATGCACACTACATGCATACGTCACGTCGTTCACTTTGGCCCGTTCTAAGCCCTAACTTTCCATGGGGGTCGTGAGCTAGACCGCTACACCTCCCCCACTATTTCGACCAAAATCCGGCCTTGTCTTCACTTACAAAATTACGAATACTTCTGGCAGCATGACTGTTATTAATCGTAAAGATGAAATGACCTCATTAATTAACACTCTTCCGGAACGTACAGTACACGAGAACCTCGTTCTCATGATTGAAATATTGTTACAGTTGATGATACATTTACGAAATCATACAGCTATATAAAACATATAATAGATCTTTATATAATTAGATGATCAGTAACCAGATAAAAGACTCTAAAGACAATATCTCAATCCCGAAAACGAGGCTCTATATTGCCAAGGCTAAGTACCTTCTGGAAGGGTGTATTATGTTGAGCGGGTAGCCTTTTTTGCAAGGTCACAGTGTGTACTTACTCAAATGTGTCTAGACCCCTTCAGTTCAACCCAAGAGTGTTATATATACTGTATATTATTCTAGGTCTTCAGGTTAAATAAAACAAGGCCATCAGTTACTTAAAAATATTAAAAAGTTTCGATTCTTTGGCCCTGCATGATCTTCATCACTGTAACAATTTAACAAATGAATGTTGTATTTTTCAGTTGTCGTATTGAACGAATTGCTTTCTATGCAGCATTCTTTGCACCGGTCATGTGCATTATCTTTCTGAATCTAATTGTGTTTGGTATCATAATGTACAAGTTAAACACACGCCCTGACAGTTCACTTGGTAATGGTCGGAGCGCGATGACGCAACGTATGAAACAAGCTGTTGGTATCATGATCTTGGTTGGAGTAACATGGATCTTCGGTGCTCTGGCAATAAGCGGTGTTCGACTTATATTCAATTATCTTTTCGTCTTCTTTAACTCTATACAAGGATTTTGTATCTTCCTATTTTATTGTCTAAGTCAGAAGAATGTTCGTGATTGTTGGAAAGCTCTACTGACTTGCCAACTGCATAAGTTATACAAAGATAAGTCGTTTCATACGAATACCTACGACCGGCGACGATGTTCAACCGCAAGTACAAATGCAACTCATAATAATACATTGAGTCTTGCCAGAAAGAAGACCTCGACATCATCCGGAAATACGGTATGTAGAAATCCCAACTTTACAGCACTTGTACTGGATTGCTGAACATTATCTTTTGCATGTATTATACTTGGCCATCACAATTGGACCTTTTACACCATACTCGTGGATAGCTCTATCATTCCGTCTTGACAGTTCTTCCTTGATGCAAGTCCAGTAAAGACTGATTTCCAGTTAAGCATTTATCATACGTAGCTACTGTACCTGTACGTAGCTACATGTACACGCACGGAAAAGTTTAGATCCATTTACAAGTTTCTTATGAAATAATGAAATGAAAAATGGCAGAATTTAGTTTTGCGTATGATTTAAAGTGTAACTGTTGAGGTAATTAGGACTTAAATAAACTTTAGAAAGATTTAAACTTTTCCGAGAAAAACGCTTAACCAGAATACCTGGAGGAAAACTGCAGTGTTTGGTAGTGTTTAACTGGAAGCACCATTCTCATAAGTGACTGGAGCAAAGCATAAAAAGAAAACTTCGTATTGCAGGAATCTAACCCTGTTTGCAGAAGTGAAAAGCTCATGCACTAAGGATTTTGCATGTGTTTTTAACCTGTAAAAGCGGTATGAAGCCAATTGATATAAAAATCTATACACTTTTATTGTTTATTGAAATATTTTTATTTTTCTATGAGCATGTCATGTTTATAATGCTCATGTAAAAGCAGATAATTCAAATATCCAGCCCCAACATGCTCTCGATTATTGTTTATTGAAATATTTTTATTTTTCTATGTGCATGTCATGTTTATAATGCTCATGTAAAAGCAGATAATTCAAATATCCAGCCCCAACATGCTCTCGATTAATTTGATTTTCGTTTTCAAAGGCATATCCTTCACACTCCATGGACACTCTCAATCGTGAATTCACCTCGTACAACTGTAGCAGTGGCACGTTGCCTGGTAGGAAGGAAGGAAGCAAACCTAACAACCTCAACAACTTTAAACCAAAAGATTGTAATCTTCAAAATGGCACGACAAGCAATAGTGATATCTGGAAACGATTGTCAAATGCAGTCACAGGCGATGACGAAACTCCGAATTCCTTCTCAACCGATACTCCATTAACTCGCTCTCATTCCTCAGAAACTCTATGCTCGGACGACAGCAGCGAGAATTATCATTCCTACGACTTGGTTGCAAGTTCGGAAGGGTCTCTCTTGAGTCTTCACTCATTGGCAGAAAGTCAAGCCTCGGATAATCAAGGCTTTTATATTGTTAATCCAAAGGATAGTTGTAATAATTCACTCCATAGTGACTCAGCACCAAACACACCGTCACCGGGGGAAGTCAAACGACCCATGCCAACTCCACTTACAAGGAACAACCGACTAACAGTTCCACCTCCTACTAAAAGAATGCAACAGTTGCAAGCAAAACCAAATAATAATGATCCTTTGGCCATTCCAGATGATTTCGGTAAGTTAATATTCTTGCATACATTCCTTTACCACACAGTGCTTCACTTAAAAATTATATATCGTAGTATGTTTTGCACATCGACAATCTTGGACAAAATGAGTTGATGACTTTTAAGAACTATTCATTCCATTGTTTACGTGTATGCGATGTTTATGGAGTACCCCCTTCCTCTCCTTTCTCTAATTATTTTTGTTTCCTTGGGAAGAGGAATTTTCCTTCTCCTAACAACATTCGCTCGCAACTACACTAATTTGTCCAAGATATAGTGCATCTTCTGTAAAACTAACAATTTATCTGTAAAACCTAACCCTCTGTCACGTTTGGTAAGATGCTAACCACTTAGAATGTATGTAGGTTTTAATCTGTGTCTGCTAGTGCGAACCCACGTACAAAGGTAATATCGCATCTTACACAAAATAATGTTATACAGAAATGTTCTCAAGAAAAGACGGTGAGCATGGCCTATTTTGCTGATACTTCTCATTATTTTCTTGTTGCTTTTTTGGTGTATCAAGTACGGAAAAAGTCACCGAAATAAAACATAGGCCATTCTCACAATTTAAAGATCCTAGTGAAATGCATATGTTCAATTAAAAAGTTTCCTGAGCCCTCCTGGGCAAGCTTATTAACTCTTTGGAGCAAACGTATATAAAATGTGTTTAAAAGGGAAATGGCAATATTAATAAATTAAGTTTGTCTTATTTGAAAGAACATTTAAAATTATATGTAAACTTCCATTACAATTCTTTCATATCTTGCTTGGTTTTCGAAATAAATCGACTTATTTCGATCAAAAGCAGCGTGCATTCCGCCATCTTGGATATGCATTCGATATGCATACGTCACAAGTGGGGTAAAAAACGGAATTTTTATCTTGCAAACCACATATCATTGTCAATATGAAACTCGATTTTCCGAAGTCTTTTTAGTACTCAATTAACTCACATCATTTTTGCTTGTGACGTCATCATCGTTAATTAGATGATTTAGATCATTTATAATACCAAGATGGTGGACTGCACACTGTTTTTGGTCAAAATATTTCGAAAACCAACCAAGGTACAAAAAAGTTGAAAAGGGTCTTCATATATAACTTGAAAATTTATTTCAAATAAGACAGAGTTAATTTTTATTGCCATATCCTTTTAACAATGGTAACTTCCCTTTACCTTCCCTTTTTATTATTCAGCCTCGTCTTAAGTTATATAAGCTTGGGCGTTGGACGTCCTTCAATATATTTTTCTTTTACATCTAGGAAAATTGATAGTGAATCCTTCCCGTGGTTCAGTACGAGGTGTCCGTGGTGTAGTCGAGACTTCAGTTGACACATACGACGAAGATTCACACGCTGCAATAACACCACAAGGTGTAAGGTTGGCAGAAGGAATAAACAATGAACAGCAAGATAACTTTGGCTCGAATGAATGTATCGCCTCGCCGATGTATTTTGCGCAAAACAATCGCGCCAAATCAAAAGACAGAAACTCGTCGACAAATGAAAGTACCATTGGAGATGTTTGTCTGTAGTCATGTTGCAGTGAAATAGATGAAAATGTTGAGTGTTCGTGTTTGACACTGTATAACTACTCAATTTTGAAATCGTTGTTGTACGATTAAGAAAATCGTCCTGGCATCGCGTCCTAATGAAATGTATAGTCATTATTTTGCCGAAGATCTGGTATCAACCATTACAAACCAAAACCTACATGTATTATCTTGCATGTACTGTATGGTGTGGAACTATTTAATAGGTGTATATAAAGTAGGATCGATTTATTCTGTGTGCGTTTTGTGTTGTCGTATTATGTAGCTAGCTACAGAGTTTAATGCTGTCTGATAACTTGTCATATGTGTATGTATGGTTTTTTTTATATCTGTCATGCTTGTAGATAGACTTACTCAATACTTGCTCAATGGATTGGAAAACACCGGGAAAATCTCGATTCGCACCCGTTTTAAAGATATATTTAAGGAGCACACGTTTATATTATTCGGCGGTTATGGCCTTATTTCGCGGAGACAAAAGCGAAACGCTACCAGCCATTAATCCCATTTTGATTTGGTGAATGCCGAGTTTTCCAATCCAAGATAGTTTTCTGCTGGACAGAAAATACTTTCCATCGCTTCTTATTACTTGGGAAGAATACTTAATGTTAACTACTGGATGCATGATTACGGAACATAGTTTTGGGAATTACTCGTATTTTTATAAAAATTACATGGAATACTGCTTGAAAATTTAAAGCTGTAAAATATTTTAATATATCAAATTAAAAAAATATCAAATTCCAGTAGAGGTCGTTGTATTTGCACACTTTCTAATACGTTCGATAGTTGGTTTAAGCTCTTTTACAAAAATCTTTTTACTGACGTGCATGTATAGCAACTTATGCAAAGTAAGTTATGTAAGCTACAACTGCATGTATTAAGATTTCTCTGAAACTGTTACGAATAATACTTTTAAACACCGTAGAAATGCCTATGCTAAAAAGGCAATGGCCCGTGCTACACGTGGGAACTTATTTTACTTGGAATGCAATTTCTAGCACAGAACTATTTTACTGTATGCGATGCTCACGTCCATCCAAAATTGTGTTGCAAGTTTCAGCAAAATTCCCTCTGGTAATTAGTACTCGCGTATTTCAAGAAAACATTGTCGAATCTTGTCTTACTTAACCTTCTTACAGTCCTTATATCTGACAAAATACCCACGCTTTGAAGTAGCTGTGAAGTATCTCTTGCCCATAAATGATCCATCGGTACCCAACTTATCCTGCTTTATCAACTCGATTCCTGCCACAATATTATCTTTTGTCTTGGGTAATGTTGGAAGGTAACCGACCCATTTCAAAACGCCTTTCAAACTTCCTGCTTTCCCTCGTACATGGCAAACAACTTTCGTTCCAATTGCAGCGTTCTTTTGTTTCAGGGGAGTGGTTTGCTTTCTTGGTGAAGGATTTGGTGTGGCGGACTCGTGTTGTTTTGCTTCCTCGGATTTTTTGTTGGTAGTTTGTGTGCTGCCTGTGGCGCTCGCTAAGTGATCCTTTCTTTCTGAAGAAGCGTCTTCTTCCTCTTCTGGAGAAGCAGGGCGTTTAACTGCTGAATTTTCCCCTCTAAAACCGATATAACGTACGATCTTTACTGATTACAGTTGCCTCAGCACAAATAGTTGTATTCCAATGGAGTCTAATACCCCGTTGGAAATTAATTCTACAGCTGGTCCATTTCTGGATATCCCAACCGACAATCAACCCAAGACTCTGGTGTACCGTACCAACCCCCTGACTCCAGAGCTATTGGGAAGCCCTAATGAGACATCCAGATATTCAGTTGAGAGACTCAGTCAGCCTAGTTCGTCCATTATCATATCTATGAAGATCATTATATCTGTGTGGATAGATACATCCTGCATTTAATAGACACATGTGTTTCTGAGATATGATTGTCAGATGTAGCATTGTTGACTGTCCCTCGATGTTTTGACTTAATTTGAACACCACACCAAAATTAATGAAGTGATGCCACATTTATCCTACTGGCATGGTCGCTTTCAAAATTATACACTGGTAAACATGGAGTGCCGCGGGGAGGGGGATTACGCCGAGCACCTGAGGCTGAGCCCCATCCCTATTTACTTGGTCTTGGCCATGGACAAAGAACGAAAGTCGGGTATGTTGTTTGTATAAGATATATAACTGTTAACTAGGACGAAGTATCCGCGAATTATTAGAAAATCTCTACCTACCGTGGTCGGTCATCGTATTCATTTGAAGATGCGTCTGAGAAATCTCCTTTTGTATCTTCAGGAACTGTACCATCACTGTCACGTGATCTACTACCAGCCGCTGGCCAAGTTCGCTTGCCGCCTTCCCGTGGATCATCGTAAAACAACTGAAATAATAAACACAAATTACACGATGTGGTAAGTACATTGTATGTATTATGTGTGGTTATGTGAGTATTGTGTGTGGTTACAATAATACTATAACAGGAAACAAGAAACTATAGCCGTTTTATTATGTTCCAAATCCGAGCATTTGTGAATGCAGCATACTTATCATAAAACCATTATTAAAGCATGGTCGTTCTTCGACCTTAGCTGCCTGCATTTTTACCATGGTACACAATACGTAACTGAAAACGTTGACACATGCACATCCAGGGCATTTTTTAAGAAATTACAACTACTGGGGCTAAGTCTCAATAAGGGCCTTTTCCCCACACAATCATTATGTGCTCAGGGGCGGCCCTAGCCCAATTTGAAGGGGGGGGGGGTATAAGTGAAATATTGCCTACTAATTTCAAACTCTAATTAGTATTTCTTTTCCCAAAATTGATGGCGAGCGAGGGGGGGGGGGGGCTTCACGGCTCAACATCACAGATTTTCCGTACATTATACTTTTCATTTTCGTTTGGGTTAACGTAGCATTGTTTGTTTAATTTTTCCATAATTTTAGCTACAATTATTAAATTTGTATCAGTGTTTTATTTTCTCTCCTTCCTATCCAACTGGGATTAGATAGTTTGCAGACTACCAGACGATTTGGGGTGTTCCAACCCACAACCCCTTTTAGCACCCTGTGCTGACTTTTATAAGATGGAATGTCGAGAATGTGAGAGGATATGAGAAAGCAGGCAAGGTTGACTTTTTACTAATGATCAAAAGGGCCCAGCTCGTCTGAAAATCATGCTTCACTACTGGGGCAAGCAAAGGGCCTACTGGGGTAAATGCCCCAGTAGTTATATGGTTAAAAAATGCCCTAAATAATTACACGCCGCACGAAAGATTTCAAACCTAAAATTTGTTAACGGTCAACACAATGCGCTTTTCCCATAACACTTAGCATACTAATAGTGTTGGAATGTTCCTTTCTCTTTTCATTGTTTTGAAAATACCATTGTTCTCCATGCCATCCTGTTTCTCATGGTTTTGACCTATTTTTACATTTAAACGCAAAGGTACATTAAATTCTAAGTTATCCAAATATCCGCATGCTACCACAATGTGAACAAACTCCACAGTGGGAATAGCTACCTAATAAAGTCACTAAAATTGGGACTTACGCCAGTGTAAGGTTCATCACCATCATCATGAACTGGTTTCAAATTAAAATCAAGGACAGAAACATGATCAGAATGAACTTCTACTACTTTTCGTTGGGGCTTATATCCCGTGCTTGTGGCTGCTATTTCATAAGAGCCTGGTACTAGTAGCCTCCAGTAGTCGCCATTTGTTGCTGTGGTGACGGGGTGCTGACGATCAGATATAGTAATACTTGCTCCTTCCACAGGCTGACCATTGATGTCTCTAACAAAACCTTTCACTCCTGTGTGCACCTAGAAGCAGTTAAGCATTTTAATCAAATCTTCTGTCGGTTCTCAAGAACCTTTAAACGTTGGCTGCGGCCCAACGAAATTTGAAATACAGTTTTCGTGGTGGATTCCTACCAGTGTATATGTGCATATTCAACAACATATAAAGGGTCGTACGTTTTATTCACTATTATATATAATTAATAAATATAGAAAGACCTCTTTCAGGTGAGAACGGAACGTGAGATATACTTTTAGTTTAAGAGTCCCAATGGATTTGTTTAATAATATCAAAGTTGTTGACGTCAAGTTATACAAAACGAACAAAAGATGATGTATTCATGCAGACTAGGATTTTCTATATCGCACACGTAACTGACCTAAGTTGATAAATATACTTCATCTTATTCAAGGAAGTTGTACTAAGACTTAAATTCATCAGTCAGGTTTAATGTCAATCGAATCTCCTTTTCTTTATCAAACAATTTATAGACTGAACACGACTGGGTTTTTTGTTTTGCGCTCGTTGAAACCTTAACCTCCTTTCTGTTTTTAAACATTTAAAAATGTTTTGCTTGAAATAATTAATGGACACATATACTGCTGTATTTTTAATAAAAAGAGCGAGTAATCTGTAATTAATACTGCATTTTTGCAATATCTGCTGACATTTACTGATTTACCATTTAAATTACTTTTTCTATCGTATTGTCTCTGCATGACATTTACTCAGTATGCTTTGTAGTTTCGTTTGTCTATTATGTACTGTAATAATGTTAAATTGCTTATATCGTTCCTTACCTCTTCGATAAAATTAATCAAAGACTTTTTATTATCTTTCCAATACGTTTCGATCTTTGAGGCATTCGGAAATTTATCACAACCAAGTTGTATGGTAACCTCAAAACAGTTAGAACGTACGTAGTTATAATCTTGCATTCCTCCTGCTTCACTGAACCATTTCGCACCATTTGTAACACCATCAATAAAATGTGGACCATTGGCCGTGCAGTTTAGTTTTGGATTTGCTAGATGCATTGTGGGATGGTTAACTGAATATACTTTCGCGAGATGTCGGAAAACATCGTCGTCTGGCGTAGCACTGTATACACTCTGTCCCGACGGCGAATCATCGTAAGGGTATGTTACTACCAGTGATCCCGCATGCAGGCTAGCCGAGAGAACGAAAGGATGCGAGTTAATCCATTTTTCAACTGCTTCAGTTTCGGGTTGTGCGGGCGAGATAGTAGGGAAGAATTGATCTGGGAAATTTCTGTTCAAGTCTATGCCGTGTGCATTAGTATGTCCAATCCCACGCCGAGTTTCTCCCTTGGTTCTTGCCATTGCATAACCATCTGGGTTTAGACTTGGTAGTATGTGAATACGAGTAGTATCCACAAGTTTTGTTAACTCAGGATCTTTATCATATTTCTCACAAAGAAGTTTTATAAACTGTAGTAATATCTCTTTACTGATCGCTTCTTCGCCATGAATACCCCCAACGAGTTTTACTTCCGGCTCGCCAGGATCGTGCCTTCCGGGATTTCCAGAGATTTCAAGAATCCAAAGTTTCCTGTTCTGTACAGATTCCCCAATATCGTACAGAGCAGCAATATCGGAATATTTCGAAGCGAAATATTTCATGAACCATAATGTCTCTTCGTAGGTGTGGTGCTTGAATTCGTTCACATCCAAAAGTTTGGAAACTATTTCGACATCGCTCTTCACAGATAGCTTGTCTTTCTTGTCCGGTTTATGCAATGTCCGAGCATTGAGTACAGGTATACAAATCCCAATGAATAACACAGAAAAAATCACCTTATCTGACAACATATCGAGACTTCTTGTTACTCCAACCAAACAAAAGTTCAGTATTGGCATGTATTGTTCTGCCTCAAATGTAAGCCACTCAATTCTGAATGACATTACTCAATGCTTACTGAATGTCACGCACTGAATTTAGTTTTACCACATTAATCATTAATCACACGAAAGAGCAGCCACCTGTCAACTGTTTGCGCTATGTAATCCTTTGAAGTATGTATAGACCGTATATACAAGTTATTCGTATCACATTTTTGTTTTTAGTTTACTGACAGTATGCGCCAATTTATAATTTCAACGAGACGAAAGTATAATTTATTGCTTTATTGAGTTTGTTTACTATTAAGATTGAAAATTCATCCATCAATTCATATTCGATAGAACTATAAGTATTGCTCTCTGACCCCCTCACAGATTTAAATAAAAAAGCCGGCTCAAGATGTTAATAGTATAAGAGAAGTATTCAAAACAAGAGAAGTATTCAAAACAGCTTTTAAAATTCAATCTTTGTAACAAAAAGGTTGCCTTCTTATCGTCTTTAGTTAAAAGCAAATACAGCGAGGTAAACAGAACTTAAAACCTCTACAAAGCCCAGCAGGTATATTAGTGTACCTGTAAACTGAACGAAAACAATATCCAATATTCTTATTAACTTTTAAACCGCAGTATACTTGTTTATTTTAGTATTTTAACTTATTCAATTCCTCTTATATGGATTTTTGTTTAGGTCGTAAGGACGTAATCGTTAACGAATATGCAATACAGAACATAGCCAAAATTAAAAAGTCAAAGATCAAAGAAATATGAATACATATAAGTTGGTATTGAAGGAAAATTAATAAAAATATTGGGTTGAATTTTTTTCATGTATTAGCCTGTACGGTTATCATGTGACCGATCCGTGCAGAAAACATTGCTCTTGAATATACATGCCATCATATAGCCAAATTAACCACTTACATAATTTTAAGGCGCGGTTTTTTGTACCCAATAATAGTATTCGTCTAACAGCCACATGCAGCAAAAAAACCAAAACACTAGTTGATTATAATATTGGCGTAGAAAACATAACATGGGCGGGCTGGAAGATTTCTATTAACGTTTAAGAAGAATTTTTCATGTAAATATCATGTGGTATGCACAGTATTTTGTGCTCTTGTTACTGATTTCGTTTGTGTCAGGTAATCGTCGACAGTTCATCCCAAGACAATTAATTCATAAATCGTTCTCGAAAGCAAAGGATGAGCCAAGAATAAATAAGGTACAGAATGTTCTTTTGATCTTTTTCCTTAAAGTAATATGTTTGTCTACTTGGCACTTGTGGTTTAATTCTAATTTATAAATACTAAGATCGAAAGTTTGGAACGGAGTTGGGATATCTTCTGTGTTCAGCATTTTTACAACAAGAAGTCAGATATAGTATATAGCTATATTAATGATATGCATGTAACTACGAATCCTGGGTCATCAAGGTCTTAGATGGATAGATTACTGAATCAAACGCTATAGCATGCAGGGAAACTAGGCTATAAAGTTACTTTTGTTGCCAACTTTCTCATTTCATCTGAGCCTGAGAACGTAGTGGTACAGCCAAATCATTATTAACCCGGACTTGTTTTTATTTCGATCTTTGTTTGGGTTTCATTATCCTTTAAATTAAATTTTTGTTTGATTTGATTTGATTTCATTGTCTTGTATAGGTGCAAGAACGTCCTCGGCGTCGACCCAGTGCTATAGTACAAAGTCATCGTCACCACAATCTCGATGATCACAGCCATAATAAAGGAGAAGTGGAAGAAGAAGACTTTACTCACCACAACTACGAAGAGCTAACATGGTTCTTAAAAAGTGTCGCCAAAGACTTTCCTCATATAACACGTCTTTATACTATAGGCCTCTCGGCACAAAACCGCCAACTTTGGGTGATGGAGATTTCCACAAAACCTGGCAAACATCAGCCTGGAATCCCCGAAGTAAAATACCTTGCTAATATGCATGGAAACGAGGTTGCTGGTAGAGAAATCCTTCTACATTTCATTCGTTATTTATGTAAAAACTATAAAGTTAACCCAAGGGTGACAAAATTGATTGACAAAACTCGAATACATATAATAGCAAGTATGAATCCAGATGGTTACGAATTGGCAGCGACAAGAAGAAATCTGTCCAGGATCTTAGGAAGGAAAAACTCATTCGGTATCGATCTTAATCGCAATTTCCCGGATCAGTTCTTCTTTGGCGTTACAGCTCCTCTTCAACCAGAAACAAGAGCTGTAGCTAAATGGATGCATTCCATTCCGTTTGTCCTCTCTGCTAATTTTCATGGAGGGTCATTGGTTGCCAACTATCCTTTTGATGATAGTCCATCTGGTCAGAGTTCCTACAGCGCGACGCCCGATGACGATGTTTTCCGACAACTAGCCCGAGCATACTCCGAGGTACATCCGACTATGCATTTGGCCAACCCTCCTTGGACTTGCAAAGAACCACGAGAACGATTTATTGATGGTATAACAAATGGTGCAGCATGGTATAGTGTATCGGGAGGGATGCAGGACTATAATTATGTACATACTAATGCATTTGAAGTCACACTAGAAATTGGTTGTGAGAAATTTCCAAACGCAAGTGATTTGCCCAGTATATGGAAAGATAACAAGGACGCTCTCATTAGCTATCTGGAACAGGTATTAACACATTTCTGTGGATGTTTGTAATTAATGTTTTATTTCTTATTGTAAGCTGCAAGTAAAAACTCGATCGAACATTTTTTCATCCCCCTTTAGAGCCCTTGGCCCCATTCATCACAAGAGAATCATTCCCCGTAAAGTGTTAAAAGTAATTGAAATATTATCTTTTTAATTAACCGTCACAAACGGGTTAAATCTTTATCCACTGCTATCCAAATGTGATAGGAAAGAAAGAGAAAAGGGTTAAAACAAGCAACTGTGTCATCAACTACTAAATTTGCCGAATGTGTAATACTCCAAACTTTAATGTATCAGTACCTGTACGTAAAATTGTACAATACAGTGACATTATACTTTTGTTAGTTCTGAATCACCTTCAAAGACTTCGTACACTATATTGGTTAAATGCATGGTATTCTATTCCATGAGGATCCTGACGGGGAATCCAGATTTCATTTCCCAGCCCACTTTTTTTCTAAATCCTATTTCCCTGCAACCAAATCCCAGTTTTAACTGTAAACTCAAACACAAAGAATAGTCCCGAGCAGACGTGTCACCTATATATAGTACTGACTTTAAAACACAATATATTCTGCTTTCAATAGCTCTGTTTAGAAATAACTTGACGAAGTAAAAGGTTTAAAGTTATAAATACGTACATATACCAATCATTTTCTATCACAGAAGTTACTAAGTAAATTAATTAATATTACTGACTCGCAATACCAGAAAAATCAAAAATGACGTCAGTCTCAGAACAAAATGCAGTCTTCCAGGACAGTTTTAGACATGTTGTTCTGTAGTTTAAACTCTGAAAAGTCCAATCCTGCTACTGTAGCTTATACTTTAATAAAGTACTCAATAAATAGAAATATATGACTAAATAAATGAACCTACTATGTCAAAAGACAAAATATAAGTTCGTCTACCAATGTTTTATTTTCTACATAGGCACACAGAGGTATACATGGCTTTGTCACAGACGAAGATGATAAAGGCATCAGTGGTGCAAGAATTTCGATATCAAACAGACGTCATGATATCTTCTCAGCCAAAGATGGCGACTATTGGCGTCTGCTCGTCCCAGGCGCTTATGACGTCACCGCGACTGCTGTTGGTCATGAGCCTGAAACCAAGTCCATTATTGTCAATTCTGACGATGCGACTGAAGTCGATTTTAAACTCAAACGATTGACTGTTCTTAAATCACTACATCACCAAGATTCAGAGGAAGAAGCTTTCAATTTATACCAAATGCAAAGACAAGCAAACGACCAGCTTACTATGACCTCCCCTGCACTGGGATTTGCAGGACCGCCATTAAACAGCAGACATCAATATGAACTGGAAAGACCTGGAATTAACATTGATCAGTCGTTATTGCTTGATGCTGGCAGACCTAAAAGATCTTTTCTAAATCCTTTCGTTTCACAACTGCAGTTTAGCCCCGCACTGACCTCAAATAACTTTGGAGTTAGTCCATCAAACAAACCAGATAGACCAAGATAACGATTAAGTAAACCCAGGACTAATACTACTACTCTTGTGGTAGTTTATAAAGTGAGAAAATGATGTTAATTCTTTTACTGCAATCAGGTCATTTAATTAATAAAGTAGTAATTGTATACCATGTTCCTCTACCTAGCTCCCTGTGGCTTATGTTTTTCCAGTGGTTCTTCACTGACACTGGGACCTTCAGTATTACAGGGGGGGGGGGGGTTAAATTGAGAACGAGGGCTAGATAAAGTTTCACATTCTTTGTTTGTACTTAAGATACTCAGATACTTTATAAAGGATGGTAGTGGCAGTGCTGATAGTCACACAGCCTCTTGAAGGAACAGGAAGATGGCCAACATTTTACATAATGAAATCCAAAAGAAACAAGAAAAGTTCAAACACATGAATTTAACTACCTCAGAAATTTCGACAAAAAGGGAGATATATTATTCTGACGTTCAAATTATTGCTTTCGACTGAACAAAGTCAAAGGCAATTCGGCTTTATGTGATATTTAATAGCACTCCGCGTCCTAAAGCTTTTCTGAAACCACAAGTGACACTAGTATACCCTTTTATATTCGTCCTACCCGAAAATTTCAACCTTTTGAGTTTTGGTTTTGTGCTAAATAACTTATGCATGACGTCGTAAAATATTATTAAATAGCGTTGGGTTTGGAATAGTGAAGAATAGAAATTTAAAAAATGGATAAAAATTAGAAATACTTGGATGTGTGCCGTCAATGGAATACTGTAATTACTGTACTTCACATTACAAAATTCAAAAGGGACGCTGATTTTTGTTTTTCGGCGAACAGAAAGGAGAATGTTTGTGTGCCGCCTATAAACATAAAACTACATTTGTGATTCTAATTTTAATTGATTGAAATCTATTTAAATTCTAGGTATATATGATCTATTACGTATATTTTAATCGTGCATGGTTTCTCAAGCCAAACGTATAAAATTGATATTAAGAAATCGCTTCGACAGGACAGTCCTAATATATACAACTCTGATGTGGTATATATAGATTTGCTTTGCTATTTTTCCTTTTTGGTCATTTAAATGCAGTTATAGCTACGTTCAGACGTTAAAAACAATATATTTAATTAAAAGTAATTGCCGCCCAAACAAATTTTAATAATTTTCCATGTGCGAGGGACCGCGTTATTCGTGATAACCTAATTGACATATAACCGCTTGTCATTTTATGTTTGCAGTAAAACCATAACAACAAACTTTGCAATTAAAACACAAATATTGTAGTCTGAGGAAAGGTAAGTGAAAATCTCTCGGTCAATACTAAGTCATGCAATACAAATAAAACCCGCCACTAGCACGGGATATGGAGATTAACTGGCTGATTAAAATGTCATCTGTACAATACTCAATAGCTTCAATTTAATAGCGTGACTGAAAATATTAGCAAAAAAGTTGAATGGGAAATCATGTTGTCGATAGGGGGAAATGGATTGAAAATAAGATCTAGAAATCTGATGGCTTGTTAACCACAGTATTCATCAGTCTTCACATCAAACATGCTTAGGGGTAAGATCTTTAGACTAACTATTCCATAGAGCGTATAATAGCTCACATTCATCATCAAAAATACTGTTACAAAGCTTGAACAATGACTGGCTGCCTCATGTATGCAATCAGTACTCAGTAGTGAGTATAGTTGTGTATATTCGACATAGATAGAGGTACTTCAGATGATGAGCATACTTTGTATTCATGTACATACTGCTACGTTGTAGATACAACAACAAACAAATTTTTAACATATTTAAGCTGAATGGAATAAAGGATATGGAAAGGAAGACGTGTACGAGAGAAGTGCGAAAGAAACACAACAGAATCTGAACTAGCCATTCGAAACTCCAAAGTTGGTCATAAAAGGTAACAACTGAACAATTACTCCATGCTGTAATTATTATAATCGTCAACGAATAGTTGTATTAAGCCGTCTGTCGTATATACTGTACAACACGCTGCTATAATCCAATCAGTAGTTTTTTCTATCCGTTAGAAAATCTAGAGCACAACTTCGTGAATGGCACACAACTGATGATCAATCAAGTAACAAAGGTAAAATAATGGATAGATTATTTCCTATAGTGTTATTTCCATGTGACGTATAACTGCTTGATTATTTGTCCCATATCTGGAGATGTCCCAGCCTAGATCTTGGACCTTTTTGCTAGGCTGGCGTTGATAGGTTTGGTTAATTTTGGGCTAGCATTTGGTAAGTACCTAGTAAAGACTGAGTGAAGGCCTAGGTCTGGGCTGACGATATCCTAATCGTGAGCTCTCAACTGTACACTCGTTTCAGTGGACAACCAATCAGGACGAAGCAGATTCCATACACAAATTGGAGTTGCCTTACATACTGTATACACATATACTATGTCTGTGAAAGGAGTGTGTACATAATTTAATACAGTGTAAATTAACTGTCATTTACTTTGTTGTTTATTTATTATAGGGATTGAAGAATATAAACTCAAAAATCTTTCAGGTGAGCTTTATACTGTAGTTTCTATAATGGAGTAACTTGGCGTCCATTTATTAGAGGTTGACAAAACTTAGACACTGCTTCTCTTTTAACACAATTGCACTTAAATTAACCCATTCTTTGTTTTAGAATACTGTTCGAAAATCTTTATTGTAGTTCCAACTGGGGAAGATGAATATGTAACCCAGGACACGTTTGTAAAATTTGAACCTGAAAAGGCTTTAGTAAATAAATCAGAATACGATATTACTAAACCTGATTCAAGTATATTCATTAGAGATTCAATAGGCCAGTACCTGCATGAAGTTCAGTCAAAAACGAGTCTTGGAGAAAAGGACATTAAATCAACAAGAACTATGGACTCAAGAAAGAATGGCAGAACAGGAAGTTTGCAAAAACGGCATGTTTTCAGACAAACGTATCGAGAGCCCTCTGTTCCTGCTGTGAAAAATCTTGAACCTGATACCATAATTCCACGAGAAGAATCTTTTGTTTTCCAAACTTTGGTTAACAAACCGAGACTGAAGCCTCGCAATGGTGGTAAACATGGTCATCGAAAACAAAACTATCATATCAACAACAATGATCAGTCCGCGATAGAGTGCTCACGGGACAACTTCGATGAACAAGTCACGTGTTCATCACATGTTTATACCTTTAACAGAGGATTGGTTCCAAGTAGAGACGCTCATAATTTGGAATTATTCCATACTCAACATTTTCTCCCACCTGTTGTTGCTGACAGAATAGGAAATATAACTGAGCAAAAACATTACAGGTTATTATTTTTGTGCCCATTGTTTATAATCTCTGACTTTATAATGTCCTTAGTTTGAAACAGACTCGTCCCCAGTCGTTTTTGCATCGGTGTCAGGCCTCTGGTGTTGGGCATTGTCAAGCTGAGAACAGAAGTGGGCGCGCGGATTTGGCTCGCGTGTCGGGCTCTTGGTACAACAGCGACTGGAGATGAGTCTGAGTTTGAAAGATCTCCTCCTAATTCCTATCATCTATGTCTTCAACGAATCAACCTTGCTATTCCTATTTAAAAAGTACTGTATCTTGATTTTTGTAGTACTTCCAGTCCTATCTTCACAAGGTATTGTCCAAATCTGTCAGATACAACTCTCAATGCTCCTATCACTACTGACATTACCATTAATACAGTTGTACGTTATTCTTTTCATCTCTCACAAACGTCCTCTTTCCTCCCGCAGTATTTGATATTTTTCTATTTTCTTAAGTTTTTTCCTTCATTCTTGTATCGATGTCAATGACGTTTTTACATTCTTGTTAATTTGCCACACTCCATGTGTGGCAAAATCCCACGATTCATTTTCTGTAACACCTACTGGCTTAAATAAAGACGATTAAAGTATTTACAATATACTAGAATCTAACTAAAGCTATCTTCCACTGGATTTTCTTAATATTATATATAAAATGTTATATAGGTTACCGCGAGAAAAAGACGAGAAAAGTTCAAACGACGCAAGTTATTTCCTGAACGCATTATATTCTAATGACCAAAGTTTAGAAAAAAACACAAAATCTAAACCAGTTGTATATAAGGAATTTTCTGCCGAGACAGTTATACCAGCTGCTTATGGAAGAAGAAGATACTTCGATTTTCAGGGATATATCCAATTTCTTTGTAAAGAACGAAATCTAAGAAAAACAAGTTCAAGACAACTGGATGATTGGGGAAAACTAGAATCTAGTTCTTGGTTAAACAACCTTAGTGATGCTTTGGTATGTATTTGACGTGATTATTCCGACAGGAACATTTACTGACGTTGCGATTTGTCGTACACGGTCAATCATATACCTGGAGCGAGGACTCGAGTTAAAAAAGGAAGCCAAGATGGCGGAAATTGAAGGGTCAGTCAGGGGTTTCAGAATGATTTGAAGTAGGCGGTTGTACCAAAAAAGTAGCCGGCTGTGACTGATAGTTAAAAGATCGCGCGGGGAGGGGAGCGTGCCCTCGCATGGAAATTTAAAAAATTTTCGCCGCAAATTAACAATCAAATAATATAGAATACGTAAAAAGACAAAGTACAACTATTAACATGTTAGATTTAGATGTCATTTGCATTTAGGGGTGGACAGATATTTTTTCCTGTAAAAGTGCAGCGCAAGATATTTTTTCCCAATGTATTTCGCGGCAGGGTATTTTTTTTTGCCCCTCATAATAACTGCTTACAGTAACGTAAGGCTTTCATATAGCTATTGTCAGAGACGTTAGCCAGGGTTTTCAGTCAGAGAAGGTCGAGCCTGAATCCCATGAGGGGCCAAGGAATTTTCACTGTGCTTTATTTTATATGGTTATGTCTTAATGTTCCCCATACTAAAGCGTGCAGGTTTACTTACAAAAAATGTATAACTGCACCAAAACCTAAAGCATGCAGGGATAGAGTAGAGTACTCGAAAATGGGGGAGGTACAGTATATGAATGACCTGTAACCTTGGGGGGTTCGGGGGCATGCTCCCTCGAGAAAATTTAAAAATTTGAACCTCGGAAATGCTATTTCCTGCGTTTTCAGCCATGGATTCGTCCAACAACTTTGCTGTATACTAAGCCTAAGCAACACTTACTGTCCTTTATTTTAAACAAGGGAAAATCACAAAATGAGCTTTGATTAATATGTAATAAAACAAGATTTCAATATTGCGATTTTTAACTGCCCTCCGAAAAAACAATGTTCCTCCAAATATAGCTCTGTAGCTTTTCAATCGTTCATACAAATAGCTTGTTGGGGATCGAGTTGCATCCTCTTCAGAAATTTTTTAAAATCTAGACTCTCTAAACTGGCATTTTCGCATTAAAATCATCGTATATACAGTACGTTCAACTTGTATCCTGTAGATGGGCCTTTGAAGCTTTAATAGTTTGGAGCTATGTTATCAAAAAACGCACACAGACTCAACCATCCAAAAATACTTTTTCTACCATGCATATTAGATATGTATAAATAACTTATAAACTTGTACAAATCTTAAGCCCAGATTTTCTCAGGGGGGGGGCAACAATTTTGCCAGGGAACGCCACTGGCTATCGTATGTTATAGGCTCCAAAGGCGCCAGAATCCCTTGTGATGTGGTCCACTGTTCACCCAGTGTTCTTTTAAGCAAATGTGCCTGCTCAAAATGCAAAATCTTGCAAGCATGTGGACACAATACTGAAGTGAAGAACGTCAGTAGATTTACATGTAGGAATTTTTTTTTGAGCGCATTCTTTTGCATGATATTTTTTTCCTCGATTGCTTTCTTTCTCCTTGGATTGCAGGAAATTTTTTTTCGAAATCTTCCAACCTCTCCCCCCCCCCTCAAAAATCAAATGGTCCGCCCCTTATACTTGTAAGTGACAATGTACTTTAATGTGCTACTTGTAGTTTAAATTTTTTACAGCTGCATGAACAGAATGACAATGTACACTACAGTAATAGTAATTATTTTATGAGTCCGAAATCATTAATCAAATGATGTTATATTTATGTACGTAATGAACTTCACTTCACCACTTCCTTTCTTTTGCTATGTTTGGTACTGTTTGGTATTATAATTTATCTTATTGATCTTCCAAAATAAGTGATGTTTTGCTTGAATTCAGGCTTAAATTTTATCGTGGCAATTGCTGCAGAGGGAGAACAAAATGCTGTGGATCATTGCGGCAATGACGGCAATTTTTTGCCGTATAGTATAATTTTTAGACTCATGTTCACTGTGCATTACTATTTTGATACTTGAATTCAGATGTTGATCAAATCATCTGTAAATTACTATTTTAGTCTCTTTTCTTCGAAAAAAAACCCACTAAAGAAATACGTAAACATGTTTCTAGCTTGTCAGCAATCCAAAGTCTGTAACAATAAAATTAAATTTTTATTACAGCAATTTGAAAAAAAAAAGCCGTGGAAACTGACAAATTGCTGTAGACAGCTGTTACGTTCTACGGCAATTTTTAACGCCATTGCCGTCAATTGATTTCAGGGAAATTCGAGGCCAACTTGAATTCCAATTGGAACATAACAAACATCGTGTTGGTTCGCTTGTTTTACTGTATATAAAATTTTTCCTGTGACCAGACGAAAAGTAGCCGGCGGTAAAAGTTCAAGTAGCCGGCGGAACTCCGCCGGCCGCCGGCTTATTCTGAAACCCCTGGTCAGTTCCAGTCCCTTTCCAGTTCCAGTCCCTATTGTTTTCGTCTGTGCGGAAATTTCGTATTTTGACATCGAGTTAAAGAATAACACTGTGCTTTTATGAACTGATAACTTGTTTCGCGAAACTGTTTACGACCTTCATAACTATTAGTTGTCAATCTCCCGCTATCATGGCTTCACTTTTCTCACTCATTGAATGTTTATAGCCGTTTAAAATTTGAACCATAAGCTTCCATGATCTCTTCTATCGGTAGAAATCAACATTCCAAGAATGACCAGGTCGGCTTGTGATTGGCCTTCTAAAATAAAAGTTGATCAGTATAAAAGTATTATATGTAGAGGATTTCTATTAGTTCGATTATAAAAAGAGGATTCCTATATTTGTTCGTTGACTTTAATCCATCAATTATAAAGCGTATTGGTAGAAGGTAACCCACCAACTTAGGGCCTGTTCATATGATCCCGCTTACCGGGACGTCTCGCTTACCGAGACGAATATTTCCGTGCGTTCATATGGAGTATTTCGTCCCGCTTGCCGAGATGAAATTACATTGTAGTTCTATAATTAGCGTATGCAAAACTTCTACATTTCAGTCAAGCAACACAAATACTTGGCGATTTTAGTGTTTTTCTTCGTTTATTTACAAGAAAAAGTATTGCTTCAGGTGGTTATTTAATACTTGTTTACAAAACAAACATAAAACCAAGTAAAAAGTGTTAAATTAAACCGGCAAGACTTGTTTCACTTCATCCCGGTAAGCGGGCTGGCGTGTTCATATGGAAAAATTTTCATCCCGCCTACCTATGATCTCGGCAAATTCAAACGAGATCTCGGCAAGCGGGCCAGCTCGCTTTCTCATATGAACACAATGCAAAATTTTATAGGAAAATAGATAGGCGGCGAGATCATCGGTAAGCGAGACGTCCCGGTAAGCGGGATCATATGAACAGGCCCTTAGCTAACTTTATATATAACAGTCAGGGCGGTCTGTTTATCAGATGCAGGTCTTTGAAGGAAAATAACTAGTACAACTTGCATGTAGAGACGCGGCTATCCAAGTTCGTGATGTAGATTAGCTTGTGAGCACAAGAACAAAATGATCCTATAAGTTCTTTGTAGGTTTGCATGGCGATACTTTTTTTGTGGAAACACCACGTAAATTTATTACTGTAATAATAATATTATTGCAGTAATAAATTAGTACGTGGTGTTTCCACAAACAAAAACTATTAAAATGACCCTAATTCAGATACGTCAACAACATATGGCTAAGGTTGGTTAACATGGTGAACAAAGTTGAACAGATTAAACAAATTCCAAATAATTTGCCAGAAATCTATTCATGACCATTCATTTTAGTCTCAGTCTCAAAAATCTGCCATAGTTACAAACTATATAGTATATATGACTATCTTTTGAATAATGTTTTCTTGCGCAAACGATACAGGTCAAAGATGTGTTTGACTACAGCAGAGTATTGGATATTAAAGGATCTAGAATGAAACTCGATGAAAATCCAGTACAGATAAGATATCAAGCAAAACCACTATCTGAACCAAATCAAAGTTGTTTCCTTGGCAACTCAAACAAGGTCTATTTTAAGCCACAAAAGACATTAAAAGTAACTCCAGTGAGAAACAGAAAACCGAAGGGAAAGACAATTCTCATTGAACGGTATGTTTCTAAAGGGCCGGCATAAATATGTTCCGGCAAATTCATTAATTACTCATTACCCCTAGCCTATATTACCCCCAAATCGTAGTTTTATTAATATTTTATATTGTTATGTCGTGCACGTGCTAATACCTCGAAATAGCTATTGTTATTGGACAGATTAGAATGAAACTATGATATTTTGTTGTACCAATTATACAGTGCAATTGTTCTTTGCTGAATTTTCCCGGAGTAGACAAAGTCATGCAGTCCACAAAAACTTTCGTTAGCTAGTCTACAATTCAGTACTGAAAGCCAATATAAACACGTTACTGTTTTATGACGGCTTGAATTGTACATGTACAGACAGTACAATTCCGGCATTGCTCGTACCGGTAACTATAATATTAGTGAGTAAACTAATAAATGACTTAATGATCGACTATTTAGTGAGTAATATAGGACTTAATGATTGACTAATTGTTGTTTTAGGTTGCCAAGCAAGTTTCAGTTTACTCTTCCCGGACGACCTCCCAGCAGTGATGATTCAGGATTTGCTGAGTAATAACTTGGTCTTGGGTCAAATAAGTGATATACAGTTTTTTTAATAATTCTAATTCTTCTAATAGCTTGGATTCTTAACCATAAATAAATATAATGGATTAACTTAAATTAGCAAGAGATTGAGAGCTTGAGGATTTATATGCAGTTATAAAACTTATAATCCCTTAATTAATCTTACATTTTATATGGACAGTCATTAAATTTCACATCACTTCTTTATGATGGCATAGTATAGAGAAAAAGTTGGAATGACCGCATAAGACATGTTTATGTGCAATGACCATCATCGTGAAACTATACATATAATATAATAACTCACCAAATTAAAACGCCCAATACTTTTTCAATAATGTATCTAAATTTGATTAGCAGAATGTGACATAAATCTCATTTGCATACCAATGGTTTATAATGCAAAAGACCATCTCATGATGTTACATCCTTCGCAACCATCTTGTTTCTGTCTTGCTGCAGCTTTGCAGAGGGCATGTAAAAGCACTCTCCGAGGCGTATAGTTAAACACGAAGGCTATCTATATAATACTATAATTATACCCGAAAATTATGAGGCATCACCAATTATCTGAATGCCTTACATTTTCTGGGCACCAAATATTCGAGTACCCTTATTACCGTACTTACCAAATTGGAAGGTTGCAAGCTGTTAACCGAGGTGGCCTAGGAACTAGCAGTGGTAATTGGATTAAGGCCCCAGTCACACGATAGCGGATTCGTATCGGAGCGACATCAATTTAAGGTGTTTTCCAATCTCTTGTCATAATTATCAGTATATTATCATAATTGTAAGTGCCAAATTCACCTCGAAGCGGTAAAATTTGATGTCGCTCCGATGTGAATCCGGTATCGTGTAACTGGGGCCTAAAGAAAGATCCATGCATGAAGTGATATCTTGAACTGCCAACTACACTCGGGCTGCTTGCACCCATCACACCATTACAAATGGAGGTGAAAAACAATTTTTAAAAAAATCAATAATGCGAGCCAATTGGGATGGGGGGATTTCAAACTTTTCGCTTTATTTTGGATATGATCCAAAATAAATGGGGGGGATTTCAAACTTTTCGCTTTATTTTGGATATGATCACTTTGCGTGCCAAACAGCTAATAATGACCATATGTTGCGCGAGTTGCGCATTCAACGCAAGGCACATCTCAACAGTGACACTCAATTTCCGGATCACGTGTGGTTCACTAGCTATTAACTTTGGTTAATATAACCTCATTAAATAATCAGTAAAGTAACAGAAAACCTCTGAGAGGAGAGTGGGGCAGAGGCAAATAATGCGGAGGTGGCTTGTAAAAATGACTTATTTGGTCAACGCGGGTCGGCTAAGACTAAGTGGTTTGAAACTTCGATACACAGAATACAATTAAGTACTTTTAATTAAGTACAAACACTCACGCCATTTACGGATTTACCATGAGTGCAAGACATTCACTATTATAAACTAGCATTATTTTGTTAATTAGTTTCACATACACTCTGATATTACCATTCAACGGTGTGCATAGGTTAGTCCTATTCTTGTATACACTTATAACATTATTTAACACCAGACGTTTTAACTGACGAATTGAAATGATTATTGATTAACACTTTCAATATATTGAAGTACCAGGAATTTTAATTTACATTCTTAAGATTGTATAAAAGTTTTATTTGGTAATTGTTATTATTAAGATCAGGAACGGCCTAGAAAAATGCATGAATGCCTGCATGGATGATGACCTTGGTTAGGTATACAATTTTTATAATCTAGAATGCATTGGAAAAACATTACGGTTTTATATAATTGTAATACTTTGTTTCTTTTTACCAAAAGTATGTGTTGAAAGGAACTTTCATCACCTTTACTTCTAAATAAGTATTCTAATTGAAAAACGTTATACCGTAATTATATATTCATATTATTATCACCGTGTGTCCTTTACCGATCGCGACTTAACTTTGGTGATACTAGCTAGTTTTATGAAGTTTAGTACATATCATGATTGTGGGGTATACGCTGCGTTATTAATTATTATATAACTGTAAATTCTAGGTCATGATCAATGGCAATGTAAAATATTAGAAAAATTTTAAAAATCTCTTTGTAACAATCGACGATATAAACCGCCATAAAAATACTGATTGAACTGGATTTCTTTGTGTGTTTTCTTTGGCCGGAAAGTTTTTGGAACATTTCCAACTCAACCGACGTCATCACACATGCATCACTAGCTGAACGGATGAAATTGAAAATAAGTTGATTACTGTATATTTTGCTGCAATGGCAATATACCTCCGCTGTCTATAGAGTATAGTCTAGTAACAGTTGTTGAGCTTTATTCCTTTAATATTATCAGTGTCGTGAATCTCGTCATGAATGATGTATAACAGCCAACAAACAGGCCACGTTTTCCAAAAGCAAAGAGAGAAAAGTGAATGATAATGGGATGATAAGCCCATGCATGTGGTTATTTTTTCCAAGAAGATAAATCAATAAAACCATTAGCCTGTGGCCCTGTGTTACTACTACTGTTGTACTCAGAGGTTAATAAATATGGTAGGAATAAATCATTAACATTTACCATTTAAATCATGCAGTAACTGCAATTTCAGACTGAGGAATGACTGCAGTGCAGTTGGTGCTGCTAATCCGTTATCTTTATTTAATATATGTATATTGTTCATTATTACAAATATTATAATTTATGAAGGTTACATGTTGTAGAGCTTTGTAGCAGAAACCAAGACAAAAATTGCCTTGTTGAACCAAGGGTTAGCTCGTCACGGAAGTGAAAATATATACAGTATATAGAAATTATATAGATGCACTGGAGTACAGTATGGAATCTCAAAATAGGCCGATAACAAACACGTATATATCATGTCCCTTAATGCCTTAATCCTTCAGATAATGCTAAACAAATCTAGCAAGAAGTTTCATTATGGCTTAAAATAAAGGGATGAAGCTGAGAAATTCTTGGCATAACCGAATACATTTAATTAACTTGTTGGTGCTTTGGTTGTTTGCTTTAGTTTAATGAGCATGAACATTATAATATATCGCCAATATTGGGCTATAATGGGCATTAAGTATATGTCCGATTACAAATAACTAGGAAAGATACCATTCACTGTTGGTAATCATGTATGGGGTTCCAATGTACCGGTTTATAGTATACAAAAAAACTGCCATGCTATGGAGTATGGTGAATGTTGTGTTGCATTATGAAAAAGATCAAAATGAAACATTTCGAAATTCGGGCAAAGAACCTTCGTCAGGAGGTCTAGACGTGCATATATATCGTTGGTATACATAGTTGTTTACGAGTTGTGAAGGATATATCGCTAAACGAACGAGTGCATGAGGGAGCCGTGAACAAGCGTGTTTAAGAGACTGAGTAAAAACCGTTAAAACGAATCAACGATGAAGTAATTTCTTTACTATCATATGAGCCAGTAAAGAGATAAATATTTGACACTGACTGACAGACTCATACTCGGGTTCATCAAGTATAACGAACGATACGAACTGCTCAGCTGCTGCACAACGAAACCTATTAATTAATATATTCAACTCGGGTTCATATAACGAACTGTCGACTGTATAGTTGACTGTCTATAAGACTATATAGCCTAAAAAACAGATTTCTTGATACCGTTTAATTATTTCTTTATTTTCTTGCTAGCGGAATTCCAATGAAAGAGGTTTTTCTCTAGCATTCTAACCTTGAGTCAGTAGAGTGTTTTCTTGATATGAATATAGGCAATATAGGTCGCAATTTGTTTGCAAAAAAAATACATTAGAAACTCTTCCTTGCATATTGAATCAATTATGAGCTAGCGCGAATACCCGCGAAAACGCCAGCCAATCAAAACGCTGAGACAATCGTCCTACCAATGTTGATACGATAAATTTCACATGTCAAAAATATAGGACTGGCATGCTGCCGCTGTATCTGAGCCTGAGGATTGATTTGACTGAAAGTGAACAAGCAGAACAACTAGCATGTATTAGTCATGTATAGATCATTATTTAATTCAACTCACATAAAATGGTATGGTTGAGCTCCCCCAACCCTCATCCTACAACCCACAGTACAATGTCAATGTATAGTTTATTTTATAAGTATATAGACTATCGACAACCATATACTGAAATGTAAAGAATGTTTATTCATTAGCGTATACATGCAGTGCCTCCAAGCAGGTGACTGGGAAAACAACG